AAAAGAGAGTGAGAGAGAGATCCTCGAAAACTGTATTTTACCGCAGAGTCAGAGTCAGCTTGGGCTCTCGCGCGCGGATAATACTATTATTTCCCATACACACGCGCGCACGCGAATCCGAGCAGCAGCAGCAGATCGTATTTATGCCCGCGTGTGCATAGGCGGTTTTATAACGGGTGTATCACCGCGCGCCGATCTCTCGCGCGCACGTGTACACCTCGTCGGCGTAAAAGCTTGAGAGAGTGTTTCCAGAAGAGTGTGTGTGTGTGTGTGTGTGCGCGGGGGAGTACTCGATGATGGGCGCGCATGTATTTGTGGCGGCTTGCACGCGCGTGTCTACGAGATAGATGCCGATTGCCCGACGATAATAGTGCGCGCTTTGTATTTTGTACGCGCGAGCGTGGCTGATGCAGAAGCAACGCACTTTTTTCGCTATCTGTAGTTTATGAAAATGATTTCGATATAAAAAGTTCGTCCGTGGTAGAACCCGAAAACGACTATTTAACAACATTAACAAAATGGAGACCAAGTTACAACCACTTTAAATACGATTATAGTAGTTTAACTAATCACCGTTAGATGGCGAGTACACTTTATCTGTAAACTTGCAAGTGGTAAAACTAAAATAATCGTATAAGTTGAAGCACACAGTTTAAAAAACATATGAAATAGTCTACACGGAGGAAGCCAAAAAAATACACGTTGATGTTTTCTGTTATTTCATCGTCTAAAATTTATAAATTTAGAAAATTTATCAAAGATCAATGAACTTCTAGCTGAAATAGTCCAAATATCAATGATTTTCTTATAAATGACCAATGATAATTCGACGAAGGCAAGCAGATAATTATAAAAGAATTATGATTTAAAAATTGGTGTAAGAAACCACTACTAGATGCCGAGTACCATTATCTGTAAATTTGCGTACGTTATACTTCCGATTAGTACACATTTCCAGTTGGAATGACCCTTTTACGTCGAAGAAACTTTTTCTCCGTCCAAAGACTAACCTTGAAAAAAAATTTTTTTTCCTACCAGGGAAAGAAAACACAATCGCGTATAATCCTAAAAGGATCATTTTTGCTCGTATTATGATCGGTAGTTACTTTCGCTCGTCCACTTACTTCTTTATAGGCGCGAAAGGATGGATTACACGAGACAAAGACGTGCCGTACAGAAACGGAAATGCTCGTTCCTTCTCTCTCTATGTTTCTCTCTTGTATTGTACTTCATAATGTACTGGCACATAAACGCGATCGTCAACCCATCGCTATAGATCCTCGCACCGAGGTAGTTGTGTGCGCACACGTACACAAATATACCTATATACACACCGTGTAATGTCTATTAGCGACGCTATAGGCACACATAGCAGTGGTCGTCATGCTATACACAATATAGCCGAGTCGTCCGATTGACGCGCTATATCGTTTATAAGCAGGCGCCCGCGCGCGAGCTCGTAATTTAATTGTTCGCCGCGTACGAATGCGAATCGCGTGGGTGAACTTACGCACACGAATCGGCGTCGAACGTTCGTGTGTATTTACGATATTTCGCCTCGACGATGACGATTGTGCTTGGCTATATTATTTATTCAATAGCTCCTGCGAATCGGACTTTATTTCACATACGTATACGAATAAACCGGGCTACCGAGGTAAGAAGTAAAGGTCGACGCAATATACGTCCGCGCGACGAGGATGTATACTCCGGTAAAATCACGCGGACGTCCGTATGCTTTTATATATCGTTATATTGCCTCTCCGCTGTACAACAGATGATAATACGTGCAGTGCGCAGCGGCCCACGCGTGCCAGAGAGTACACGAAGCGCAGTTTATGTATATTACGGTGTCGAGGGCATCGCTTATATATACACAGCAAATGCGAGCCGTTAATTAACGTATTGCGATACATAAACATATTGCTCGTCCGCAATACGCAAGCGCGAATTTTAATTATTATCCTTTTCGCGTTTACGTATATATTCGCGTATTGCAGTCGCGGCCGAGATCGAGTGCCTCATATATTTATAATTGCAGGCCTTAAATAGGAATTCGCGCTAATAGTTAAGTTTACGGCATCGGGGATTCTCCATGAGATGCGTCGCTTGGTTTATTATAGAGTTGCGTAACTCGCGCGCGCGCGCGCAATACATCGGAACGCATATATACGAATTTCGATCGGCATCGGAGGATCTCTCGAGAAATTGCCATGTATGTATACCATTAATCGATATAAACGGTGCAGGATCGTGTGCCTCTATATAGAGAGATCGAAATCAGCCTGTAATATGTAAAAAAAGTTCCAAAAGATAAATACACGTGTCTCTATCGATGAAAAACTTAATATCCTGCGCGGCAATGGTTGAAAAAAATTCACACGCGTTGCGCTGGGGGAAAAACGCACGTACAGTCGCACGTTAATGGCTGGTGTGAGCTGTAGGGTTAGAGATCGCAGCTAACCGATATCGCGATGACGCGCCAACTATTTGTACATGACTTTCGCTGTATAAAGGGCTTTGCCATGGCTGCGTCGATTCTCCCTTCGCGTACACATACGCTTATATTATATAGAAAATTTTCGCTCTTACTCTTCCCCGTTTTTCTATATATACGTGCGATGAAAGAGAGATAGGAGAGAGAGAAAGAAAATAAAAAGGAAATGATCATCGCGTAGGTCGATCGCCGCAATCGGCTAATGCACAAAAGTTCATTAAGCCGATCGTAATCGGTCTTATAGGTCTGCTGGTGCATCGCAGAACCGATCTTCTCGATCGATACACAGCACATATATATAAACTTCCGCTTTTGTATATCCGCATGTATACGCGCTCGATTATAATGACACGTAAATCCTCGCGCGCAGACGGCTCGATCCATTATTGTCTCTCTATCCCTTTTTCTCTTTCTCTCTCTCTCTCTCTCTCTCTCTCTGGCGAACCCGAGAATATCGGGAAGCGTATGTATGCATACGCGCTCGCGCGCAAGCCGATTTAGCCCTCTCTTCCGGGCGCGCGCAAGTATATATATAGAAATGAGCGGCACTTTATAACGATCTCTATCGCGCACGCGGGCCCATCGCGCGCTTCGCCATCCTTTTCTCCCTTCTTCTTCTTCTTCTTCTTTCTCTCTGTCTCGCGAGCTCGGCATACCGTATCCCGTTAAAAAAGATAGCTGTGCGCAGTTTTGCCTCCATCTCTCTATCCGTCCTATGCACGCGCGTGTACGTACACGTGTATACGTATACGATGCATATTGCGCGCGCGCCACGACCCTGTGTGTGTACGTATATTATGTACCGCTCGAGTAGTCGTTAGATCCTTGTTCATAAAGGAGTAAGTAGAAGATTTTAAAGATGAGGTGATTAGAGCTGCTGCCACGGAGCTGCTTTACTGCCTGTGTGCACTTGTATGTATCGCTATGGCTTCTCGACGCTTCGTATACTATGAGGAAAATACCAGACGCGCCGCGTGTATATTAACGACCTCGCGCGCGGCAGGGCTAATTATCTTATTTCGATCGCAGACTCGGGTTCGCGCGGCAGTTTCGAGTTTTTTTTTTTTTTTTTAGTTGGAGTATGAAATGTGCCGGGGAACGGATGAATCGAGAGTTTCGGGAGGATTCGTGTATAAATGAGTACAAGACGATATTGACATCGCTCGTGGAAAGAGAAAATTGGGCGCAATCAAATGGTCCAGTGATGGAAGAGTAGCTGGCTAATGAACAATTATTTTGACTTTGCCACTTGCAGATTTGTAAAAAAAATTACTCACCATCTAGCAGTGAAGGCTTGAAGTGGTATAGTTGTATTTAAAGTGGTCAAAAACTGGTTTAAATTTTTTTGAAACAGTTAAATTGCCATTTTCAAGTATTTTAAAGTGTTAAAGTTAAAGTTTAATGTTTAACCGAAAAGAATAATGTTTAACTGAAAAATCGTTGATTGATTTAATTTATACAATTATTTTGACTTTACCACTTGCAGATTTACAGTTTAAATGTACTCGCCATCTAGTGATAAAGGCTCAAAGTTGTATCTTTGAATTCAAAGTTTTCTAAAGCTGGTCTAAATTTTGTAAAAAAATTGTAACTGAAAAATCGTAAAAAATAAGGCAATAGGCAGTTACGTATTTTTTAACACTGCGTGGGCGAAATACGAGTTTTCTAATCTCAAATCGTCAGAAAATCCTAGTTTCTCGCAAGCAGGGTTAAAAAATATCGTTTACAGCTAGTCTCTCGCTCGCTACGCTCGGGTGAAAACAGCTTCTGAATGAGTCAACCGCGTCGCGCACAAGTTACAAAATATACTATTAAAATATTTGAAATGGTAAATTTTTGTTTATTTTTTCACTACTAATGTTCATGAGTATTGCTAAACTGTCAATACGAATCACGATTAAAGGTTGTAACCGCAATCCGATGTCTCTTTATTCATTTCGCGAGGAAATCCTTTTTGTTTATTTCAAACGGTCATATGCCTCGTATTGGTCATCTTCAGTCGATGGTCGTTCATTGTTAATTGCCAACCGATATGGTGTCTTGCTGTGATGTACATCGTTATTTATCTATTTTTTGTCTGAGCTGCTATGTCATGTATTTTTGACGAGTCGATTTTATTCAATGATTACGATTGACTATAACGATGTTCTGTGAGTAGTAAAAATGACGATAAATTTTATTTTTTAATCGCGTTAATAACGAGCCACAATAAGTTAAAGCAATTTTCATAAATATTAAAATACGATTTCGAGTGCGAAAAGAGATCGTGAAAATCAAAATTAGCTTCATGCCAACTCATCATTATAAATAAACCCATCACATTGTATATAGAAATTTTGTTTTTCTTTCAAAACGAGTCCAAACACTCGAGAGAAACAATAATAGCGTATCTCCCAATCGTCACTCGGACAAGTATCGGATTTACCAATCTAATTTTTCCCCTCTGACGGAAGAGGGCACGCGTCGCAAACCTACCACAGTTCGATCGTATTTACAATAGCCACGTTGATACAGTACCCGACCGTAATCGTAGCTCGAAGCAGACGCGCGCGCGACCGACCGAGCGAACTCTCGTACCCGAAGTATATATCGACACACGGCTTGGAATCATCATCATGAGTCTAACGAGAGCTCAACGGACGCAACTTTACTTGGAGTTGAAGCAATCCCTGTACGGCAGCGGATACTTGGACCGACTCGGCGAGCTCCACGACAGATTTATCGGCCTCGGCGCCGAGGACCTGAACTGTTTCGCGAAATGGGCGGTGAAAGCAGGCGACGAGAAGATCATCGAGCTCTTCCAGTTGACTTGCACGAGGATACCACCGATGCGGCGAGAGACCGAGACGGCGGTGCACGTCGCGGCGCGCTCGGTCCGCCAGATCGTGTCTATCGACGCGCTCTTCGACCTGTACACCTTCCGGAATTACGTGGACGCGCAGGGACTGACGCACTTTCACGTCGCCTGCCTGATCGGCAACATGGAGAGAATGACCTTCTACTGGAGTTGCGGCGACGTCGATCTCAACGCGACCTTGATCTACGGACCGAGGGGCTTGCCGAAGACGGCCCTGCAACTGGCCGTCGGCTGTTTACGGTGGAACGCGATCGAGTGGATGGTCTACAACGGCGCTTGTCTGGAGAAACGCGACAGCACGGGCTTGACGCCTCTGAACGAGCTCTGCCTCCGAATCGGCTGCTTCGACGATCGACGCGATACGGCAGACCGATACCTTCGCACGTTCGTAAACTTGTTGCATCTCGGCGCCGATGTCAACACGACCGACATCGCCGGCAACAGCCCACTGCTCAACCTGTTCCACAAAGGTGTATTGGCCGATGCGAACTTCGAGCTGCAGCTAATCTGTTTCAGACAGCTCGTGATTCACGGAGCGGACGTGGCGTTCAAGAACAGTCACGGTGATAATTTATATCACTACATCGCGGCCAATACTCCGAGATTCTTCAGTCACGACAGAATGTCCAAAGAGAGACTGGAGTGGGTGATGGAGCGTCTGTTCCCGCTGCTCGGCTCGAACGCCATAGACCACTCGGGCAATACTCCGCTGAACTTGGCCGTCGCGAGAGTCCACAGCCAGCTGGTAAAGGTGTTTTTGGGTAATCGTGACGCTCCCAGAGACGCTGATGAAGAAGACGCCGATAGAGACGCCGCTGCAAACGGTAACGAAGACGCTGATAGAGACGCTGACGAAGACGCTAATGGACACGCTGATGCTGACGCTGTTGAAGACCCTCATAGAGTCGCCGATGAAAACGGTCTCGAAGACGCCGATAGAGACGCCGCTGCAAACGGTAACGAAGACGCTGAAGAAGAAGCCAATAGAGTCGCCAATGAAAACGGTCTCGAAGACGCCGATAGAGACGCCGCTGCAAACGGTAACGAAGACGCTGAAGAAGAAGCCGATAGAGTCGCCAATGAAAACGGTCTCGAAGACGTTGATAGAGACGCTGACGAAGACGCTAATGGACAGGCTGATGATGACGCTGTTGAAGACCCTCATAGAGGCGCCGATGAACGCGCTCGCGCGGTCGTCAACACCATTAATTTACAGCAATTAGGGCTCTGCGCTAACGATGACACAGAGTTGCCAGATCTCGTCACGATCGACAACTGTCTGCGTACCATTGAGCATCTGAACACGTTGCCTAATTGGGGCTGGACCTGGGACAGGAAGAACGCGATTTGGACATTCTTGAAAGGAGCCCGCCAGCTCACTCCAAGAACGGACATAACGCGAGTACTGCATTACGGTAAAAAGATTTATACTTATATAAATGCGAGTAAATTTTTGTAGCATTAAAAATTCTGATATTACAAATCGCTCGCAGGTAGTTACAGTGTCATCGAAACCTATCTCAGATCGTTCATCATGTCTCCGGATTATCCATTGGAAAATAAGGACTTGCATCGATGCATCTTCGAGATATGGAAATTCGCCACGATTATCGATATCGGTGAACTGCACAAGGAGCCACAATTAACTGGGTTGCTCGAAGAGGCGAGTCTTCATTTGAAGGCTAGACTGCCGGAAGACGAAAGAGAGAAAGATTTATTTAACATGCCAGTAACGACGATGGGTATCGCGAGTGAATTAAGGATTATTCAGGGCCGAATGCTCAGAGGCGCCAGGTCGTTGCTCGAATTTTGTCAAACCGAACCCAGACACGCGTCTGTAACTTGGCATTTGCGGGAGGGCATAGCTAGAATCCTCCCGGGTCGTTTGCCCTTGATCGAGGGCTTCGTGCACGGACACATCGCCAAGAGCATTCGCTATCAGCTGTTTGACGAGGACGACGGAAACCCTGCAGATGCCATCTTTGCATCTGACGAAGACAATTTGTAAATCGACTTTAGTCCCCTAAATATAGGGGGTGATATTGTATAAAGAAAACTGAGATGACTATATTGTACATTATATAATGTATAGATTTTATTCTATGATTTAAGAAACCAGATTTTTTTTCCTCCGATTCGAAGCTTCGATTGATCTTTATTACCCTAGCATCTGCATTCCCTGCTCCGCTCATACACACATTAATTTTTTATATACTACTATTTATTTCAAATTTTACATTCGTACACCCCCCACTGGTATTATTTATGTATGAGCGATCGCTGCGCACGAGTTCCGCGACCTTACGTAGTATACATCATAGCCGTTACTTCGGAATAAATTTTCATGTTCATAGGCATTACGTTATATATATTATATATTATGCAGCCTTGCACAAGCTCCTTGGAGAAATTCGCGCGCGGAACGGATAAACGGATCGTTATGCACAATGGCTGCTGCTGCTGCTGTATAGACGCGCATTATTGTTGTACCGTGAGTGTGTGTGTATGATGCAGAAGCTGCGCCGGCACCGTTATCAATTTACACCGGCGCGCGAACTCGAAGCAAAGCCAATATACTGTGATATTTTGTATTCTTCGGAGCACGAGGTGCGCATCGATCGAGAGCGATATTATATGATGTGTGCACCGCGCTGCGGACTTATCGGATTTTTGGATCTTCAAGATTTTCGAGACGTATGATATCTGTAGTTGCGATCGAGTTTAGTTCGACGAAATTGCGCGGAATCGATGATTTCGAGATTCTTAGCATTAGTTTTGTACACGAGGTGTGCGATAACATCAAAAACAAGTGCAGTCGTGAGACGGAGCGAGAGAGGGTGAAAAAAAAATCAACCCGCTGCTCGCGACTCCTATAGGCAAAGCAAGATAAGCTCAAGTTCGCGCGTGAAAAACATCCTTCTTGTACTGCACAAGAGTGCGCGTTGGGGTATATATTCCAGAGCGCAATTAATTATAAATAATTACTTTTCACGCGCCTGGTACGTCGGCGAAACTTTCTCTCTGCTTCTCTCTCTATCTTTCTATTATGAATATTTTCTTTCTTTTCTTTCTCTTCTTCGTTCGCTCCTTCGTTCGCCCGAGCGAACTGATAACGGTGAACTCGCTCGGGCGCTGCAGCTCGGTGCAACATTACTTCGCTGCGCTGCGGTACACGCCCTATTGTTTAGAAAACGCCCGAGCATTATAACTTGGAGAAATAATAAGAAAGGAAAGGGAGGAATGTCGAGAGAGAGAAAGAGAGAGAGAGAAGTAGAGAATGACTATGTATAGTCGGAGGAGAACGCGCAGGATGGGTTACAAAGAGCTGAATTTTGTAACGCTTTGGCTCGTTACTATATTGATGTCATTATTAAAGAAGCCGTGCTAATAATGAAGCCAAAAAACTTCTTGTTTAAATATTTAATTATCAATGAACGACAGCACTGAAATGTATTGCAAAGATTAAAATATCATTGTTCACGTTGTTTCTTTTCTTTGTTACAGTAAATCGGCGCCGATCGTATTATGGGTCTAGTCGAGCGCAGCAATGGCGGAACGGCGGTGGTGCAAGCTCTGGACGCGCAGCCACAGCCAGCTAGACCAGGCAGATCGAGAGATCTGTTTGGTGTACAGCTCGAGGTGAGTTTCGGCGCATTTATTTTAGATATAGTAACAGTATCGTTAACGAGAAGGGAAATTGGCGGTAAGGTTAAAGTCGAGACAGTCGTTTTAATACTCTTTGAAAAAAATATCGAGTCAATTAGCATAGACATATAATTAATCAATTAAAATTTTGAAGCATGGATTAAAGTGAAAAGCGAGCGAGTTAAATTTATTGATAACGGGTCAGATTACATACAATAGGAGGGATTTATAGTATCGTAGGAAATAAAAATTTCAGTAAATTTCCTGAAAAAAAATTACACTGATGGTTTATCGCGGATTTTGACACTATTGAAGACAAATTTGAATCATTTATTTTTTGTTGATGCGTGAGCGATGTGCCATAGCAATGTGAGCTTTAAGATTTGATTTTTGTCCAAATTTTTTTCCACAGATATCACAAGAATGAGTAATACCATTATGCATCGCATCCATATGGCATCTGAGGTTACCTTTAGTTGAGAATGTCTTTTCACAAATATCACATGCATGCGTAATTTTATTGTGCACGGAATCGATGTGGATTTTGAGATTTCCCTTTTGTGTGTATGTCTCTTCACATTTATCGCATGCATAAGCAACACCATTGTGCAATACATTGATATGTCTTTGGAGACTACCTTTTCGTGAAAATGACTTTGCACATTTATTACATTCATAAGTGACACCATTGTGTACTGCATCGACGTGGAATTTGAGTATATGTTGGTACTTGAACGTCTTTCCGCACACATCGCATGCGTGTGTGATACTATTATGCATCGCATCCATATGGAATTTGAGGTTACCTTTAGTTGAGAATGTCTTTTCACAAATATCACATGCGTACGTAATTTTATTGTGCACGGAATCGATGTGGATTTTGAGACTTCCCTTTTGTGTGAATGTCTTTTCACATTTATTGCATGCGTACGCAACGCCATTGTGCATCGCGTTGATATGTATTTGAAGACTCTCCTTTCGTGCAAATGACTTTCTACATTTATTACATTTATATGTGATACTATTATGCATCGCATTCATATGGCATCTGAGGTTACCTTTAGTTGAGAATGTCTTTTTACAAATATCACATGCATGCGTAATTTTATTGTGCACGAAATCCATGTGGATTTTGAGTTTATGTTTGTATTTGAATTTCTTTTCACATACATGGCATGCATATGTGATACTATTATGCATCGCATCCATATGGTTTTTGAGACTGCATTTGTGGAGGAATGTTCTTTCACAAATATCACATGCATGTGTAATTTTATTGTGCGCGGAATCGATGTGGTTTTTGAGATTAGTCTTTGTGCCGAATGTCTTTGGGCACATATCGCATGCATGGCTCACACCATTGTGCATCGCATTGATATGTATTTGAAGACTCTCCTTTCGTGCAAATGACTTTCTACATTTATTACATTCATAAGTGATACCATTGTGCACAGCATCGATGTGGATTTTGAGTGCATATTTTCGTTTGAATTTCTTGTCACATATATCGCATGCATGTGTGACACCATTTAACACCGTGTTAATATTCGTTTTGGATCTATGATTGTGACTAAACTCTTCTGTTATATTTTTCTTTTCATTTCGCTTGCTAATTTCACAGCCGTAATTCACAATTAATTTTTTTGCTTCATCTCCCAATGATTCTTCTCCTAGTACCACTTCATTTTCTATTTTTATACTATTTTGAATCTTACAATCATCGCTATACATCATATTCTGTAAGTGAGAATAATTGTCAAGTTTTTTTACGACTAATGAACCCACGCTGGGCTTTACGTCCTGACACTCGAACGTTATTTCCAAGTCATCGTGAGTTTCGGTCTATAATAATATTGAAGTAACGTAGGAATTTAATTGAAAAATTTGTATAATATTATTTGGATGTAATTATTAACACTTACTGGATTTTCTCGCCGAAATGTATGAAATTGAAAATTTTTAACGTCCGGTTTCTCGTCAACCATTTCGTGAATTTCATTTTCAATTGGCGTTACGTCAATGGGCTCCTGTTTAACCCTATGACGAATCCATTAAATAAAAATATAAGCTTAAAATATTTTCACGCTCTAATTTTATAAAAAAAAATAATAATTACCTTACGGAGCCGTTGAAAATGTCATTTGAAGATTCCATCTTTCTCGCTTTTGATATTTCGACAGCGAACGACTTTTCTGTACTAAAGCCACACATCAAATCAACTAAGTGAAATTTAATAATATTTACAAATCATGACCTAAATTTTTGAACGTACTAATTATGTAAACAAACAAGGCTGAGGATTATAACTTATTGAAGAAATCACATGATTTACCTGCTATTCAATGATCTATAATTTTCAAAAATTATATTTGATCGAAATTAAATTAAAAATTTGAAGAAAAAAAATATTTCGGGCTTTCGACAGGCTCTGAAAAATAGCTACGTATCAATGCTGCGATTAAAATAGACCATAAATTCGAACTCGAATGCACAATGGCTCTATATACAGCTGAAAATGTGTATATTACCTCGCAGCCACTATAAGTGCGATCATCGCCGCGACGTGCCACAATAATATGATGCTTAAATGTAAGCGGCTTCGTATACAACACGCGAGACGTATCCTGGGCAGTGTATACCGCGAGCAATACGTATAACTCAATACATACATCCGATGCGAAAACTTTCATCTAATGTATATAATATACACACATACATAGTCCATATATATAAACATTCAAGCCGGTCGGAAGACCACAACATCGTACGTAGTCGAGCTTGAACGTACGCAGGCGTACATATATTTATACAAGAATACGATACTCTCACGTGCAAAAAGAGAGAGAATGAAAGAGAGAGAGAGAGAGAGAGACTTTTAGTCCGTGATGCGATCGAGCCGCGCGCGAGCGCGTGCGAACTGTAATTCTAGAAGTAAATTACGTTTAAGCGCGCACCTTGAGCTATATCACTTTCTCTCTCCCTCTGCGCAACTCGCTCGCTTTATTTTATGCTTTGGCGTATATACGTATTCTTCCTTTTTCGTTTTATTCGCCGCCTATTGGCATAAACGATCATCGCTTCGTGTGCGTGCGATCGTTTCGTTATTTATGTACAGCGGAGATACATAACTTGGAAGCTGGAAACGCGATCGGTATACCTACCGTGTAATTGAACAATTATAGATGGAAAGAGGCACGAAAGAAAAAAATCCAGTGGCTTTTACTACTCAATTAGCTCGCGCGAACGCGAGATGACCGATGATTTTCCGTTCGTGCGAGTTTATACGATGTGCGTTACACCGTGCGCGTTCGCTTTCGATTTTTATTGTGTGCCGCGCCGCGCGCGATGCTATTATTATTATCATTATGCGTCCAATGAGGGCACAAGCTCGCTTGGCCTACATTAATGCACCGCATAATGAGTAGCCACCGCGGGGCATCGCTTCGCGCATTTTGTTTGCCGTGTATATACTCGCGATGCACCGACTCAATTGTGTACGTTACACATACACGCGGTGTCAAACCTTTCATTATACACACTCGAGCCCCCGATGTAATTACTCGTCGTTTCTTTCGATTTTATATGTAAGTACCCTCGTTCGCTCGGCATACATACGTACTTGCAGTACAAACACGATGTGTCGGTGTACGTCGGAAGTCGACGATTACAAGTGTATTCGTATATACGTTCGTTTTTCGATTCGATTCCGCCCTCCCCTTGCGCTTAGCAATTTGTACATACGATGCGACGCTGACGATGATGGGTACGTTACCTTATGCATACATGCCAGAAAAGAGTGAAAGTGCAGTCAGACGACGGTAAATAGAGAAAGAGAGAGAGAGAGAGAGAGAGAGAGAGGACGTGTCATCCGCGCACGCGGTGGCATGCGAGCACGCGTTGGACTAAATTAAATTTCAGCAATATGCTCGGCACTATTCATTCGGCTAAATTGCTGCACAGCGCATAAGAAATCTTACTCGAGGAAAAACTAATGATATTTATAAAATTGGTATCCACCTGAGCTTTGTTTTACCTAAGACACTGTAGTATATGGCTATCGTGTAACCTTGATAGAAAGGCTCGATATTGATAGATTTCAAATGATAATATAATTACCATTTTAAATGTTTTAAAATTACACGTCAATTAATTGGCTTTTTTTCTGTTATAAATAGGTTACAAATATTTAGCACAATTTACACTACTCGAATGACCTGAATTTTATTGTTTGAAAAAATTTAGACCAGTTTTCAATCTCTTTCAATACACTGCTTTAAGGCTCCACTACTAGATGGCGAATACTTGTATCTGTAAATCTGCAAGTGCCTATAAGTCGTAATAATTATATAAGTACAAAATCACAAAAATTATTTTTAATGAAAAAATAAACTAAGATTATTTAACTCTATCTTATTCAAACTCCAGCATATTAATTGAAAATGTTTTAATATTCAATTCGTTGTTGCGTTAATTAAACAAAAAGTAATTAAAAGCCCAATCACAATTAAAGCCATCCTCCACCGCTAGATGGCGAGAACCATTATCCCGTAAATCTGCAAGAGGCAAAGTCAAAATAAATCTTTATTTCACAGCTTTGCAGATATAAATTATTGACTGTGTGATGTTACCCTCAAGTGTAAAAATTTTGCTTCCATATGGCACGATATTCTTCCGATCATTTTATACTTTTGATTCGAACGAAACAGTCTCGAAAGAATCGCGCATAGACGCGTCGAGAGTGAAATTTCAACCTCTCGGCGATAGTAAGAATATATATGAAGCATCGTAGCGCAGAGCCTCGACGGGCGTCTCGAGACATTCGTATAATACGCATCGTGGTGGGACGCGGGGGACGCGTATATATACGGTCACTTTATCGTCGCTTCCGTTCTCCTATTACTTTCCGTCGCGCTCGTATAATATACCTGCAAGGATTTCTCATAACACGCAAGATAGTTGAAGATTCAGCGGTGGTCTTTGCACAGAGAGGGTAAACTCATCGGCCATCGAAGCAATTTTAATTTACAATGTACGCATACGCAATCTAATTATTCAACGAGGAATCGAGCCGCTTATACGCGAGATCGGCAGCTGTGGCGGCCGCGCGCACACGCGTTGCACGGCGCAGCAGACAAATCCGCACGGCTAATTGCGTAAGATAGTAGCAGAGAGAGAAAAAAAGAAGAAAATTAAAACACACACGCGCGCTGCGAATTACGAACCTGCTGCTGCTGCTGCCCCGGCGCGTATATACGAGTTTTCCTGATCCGTAATACGATCGCATTATAAGCGTTACACACGCGTCCGCTGAGCTTACATTATTATATATATACATATAGGATATACGCATTACCTGTTCGGCGTGCGTACGTATGAATGCGATTGTCTATATGGCGTTGGTTTGTTTTTGCTCGATGAGCAATGCGTTGCGCGTTACTATAGACCAACTTGCACAACGTAACAACTACAACCACCGTATAAAATGGTCCATTAGACGTCAGGGGAGAGAGAGAGAGCGAGAGAGAAAACAGGCTGTATAAAAACTCGACGTTGATGTGTAAATTCACGTGCAGCACATGTACCAGCTGAGAAAGAAAGAGAAACAGAGACAGACAGACAGACAGACAGACAAAGAGAGAGTAAATTGTCCCGAGGACATTATCATTTATGGATGTTAATGTACGGCAGCAGCAGACATACACTGTACACACACAAACTCGCGTTGTACGAATCGTTTTGCAAAAGTGATGGCATTAGGGCTTGTGTGTGATTGTATCGCGCGTGTGTGTGTGCACGCAGAGATCGCTCGTATATACATTTGTAGCCGAGATTTCATAATTGCTCCGGAGACTTTACGTATTATAATGCGTGTGTATATTATATGAACGGCGAAACGTGTCTGTGTGCGTGATAAATTTCCCGCGCGCGGCAAATCATCTTCTGTGGTAATATTTGCATTTTGCACTTCTAGAGACGTCCAGGCACACACACGTTGCAATATGTGTATACGAGCGCACGTGCGAGCACACATTACGCTTACGTGAAAAAAAAGACATGTACGTCTTGTAAAATGTAATTTTTTATTGTGACGAACTCGAAGGTTTCAGCTGTATATTGCGATTTAATGAAAAAACTGTAAGTGAAATAATTGATTAATGAAAGATACAACGTTGCAGCCAAGCTTTTTTAATCAAGAAACTATTATGACGAGGCTTTTGTAATGAATGCTAACGGAATTTAATTTGCCCATTGTGTATAGTTAAGATAACTCGCTGATGAATTTAAGATAATTTTCCAGGACAGAAGGAGACTTCGAGTTACTTCTGGAGAATGATATTTTTGAAGTATTGAAAATTTGATAATCACAGGAGCTGCTCGGAGAACCAATGAGAATATTTATTTCCAGTTCGAAAAATAACAAAACTTTTGCGCAAAGTCTCTCCGCGTCGCGCAGCTCTCGACTTTTATTTTTATACCGTACGAACGAAATTTCTGCTTTTCTTTCCCGTATCGTGTATATAATAACAATAATACGAATCAACCAAGTTCTTTATTCTCGCAACATCATCTTTATGCGATGAGAATATTATTTCCTTCCGAGAAAGCACAATGAAGGAGTAAAGATTTGAAAATACGTATAAAATACATAAATACGCATAGATATATATAGAAAATGTCAGCCTCGAGCGCTGATTGCACTTTCTTATTATGAGCCTTGGCCGCGCGGACAGATCGAACTTTCCGAGGCGTAAGTACGTGTGTTTATAATGCTCGCGCCCGACGACATTAGCAAGCAAATTGAACTTTCTTAATCGCTTGCGCTCACGTATTATACTTTTTTTCGCAATAATCAACGCTGCGTACCTAAATACGATCGCGCGCGGGGGCGAGTGAGAGAGAGAGAACTGGTAAACGCTCGGCGCTTACGTACATGTGTATAATCTACGAAAATCCAATAAAATTCATGAATAATAAAATAACGACGTGGCGCGCGAGCAGCAGGATGACTCGGCTCGACTCTGGACTCTATATGTATATATCGCCATACACCGCTGCAGCTATTTCCGCGAATAGTACCCTTAAAACTGAAAGTCATGATTAATTCAGTCCATATATGCGCGTGTGCGCTTGCCACCGGTGTTCGCGCGCGCCCGAGCAATCCGTTATATGGCTCTCGTGTGACGCGTTAAAAAAAAAAAAAAAAAAGAAGAAAGAAAGAAAAAAAAACATAAAGGGTAAAGAGAGGAAGAAAGAAAATAACAGCTCGACGTATGGCGAGGGATGTAGGCCTTTTATATGCCGTTGCCGTTGCTGCTGCGTACAGTATAGGCTGTCACGAGCGCGCGTTATTGATACAACTTTTGCGCGGCGCATAGGAGCACGGGAGGCCTATGTGGATACGCCCAAATTATGTTGCGGAGTTGGAGCACGCACGCACACGTACGTATACGTACGGAGCAAAAACTTGACTGGCGTACGCACGCGAACCTGTCGTATAATAAATAATTACGCGCCGAAGGAGTATACACACAGTGTAGCATACGGTATAGGATATATGCACGAGTTCGAGTCATGATTTTGTTACCCCCGCAGACTGGAATTATTAGTTATTTAATTTTCCGAGTAAGGCGAGTCGAA